CACACTTGCATGAACACAGACCCATGCATGCAGGGACACAGACACATGTACATATTAATGGTAGCACAGATGTACATGAACAGACACAAACACGGTTGCATAGGCACATGCACCACGAGTGCAGGCAGTCACACGCACATGCATATGTACATATGCAGTCATGTGTACATACACGTACATGAGTGCAGCCACACACATGCATATGTACACATGTGCAGTCATGTGTAGACACACATCCATTAGTGCAGTCACACGTGCATATGTGCACAGTGCAGTCATGTATGTGTACGTACACTTACACGAGTGCAGCCACACACATTCATATTACACACAGTGCAGTCATGATGTGTACACACATGTGCATGAGTGCAGCCACACGTGCATATGTACCACATGTGCAGTCATGCATGTGTACATGCACATACACAAGTGCAGTCACACATGTGCATATGTACACACATGTGCATATGTACACACATGCAGTCATGCATGTGTGCAGACTATAGCAACAATGCATATGTACACACATGTGCAGTCATGTATGTTTACATACACATACACAAGTGCAAGCAGTCACACAGTGCACACATACACATACACAGGCAGTCATACAGATGCATACATGTGTACATGCATGTGCAGTCAGCCAGATAAACATACATGTGTGCACACATGTGCAGTCACACATGGGCACGTGTAAACACATGCCGGCAGTCACACATGGGCACATATGCATACACACATGCACAGGCAGTCATAAGATGCATATATACACACACATGCAGGCAGCCACATACACGCACACACACTTTCACAGATGTTTAGGCAATCACAATCACATGTGTACATACTTTCTGATAACAAAGTTTGTGGTGTATATACAGTTTTAACCAGCTTTTAAATATGTATTACAGATTGTAAATACAGATAGTCTCCACTTTGTTCATGGTTTGATTCATGGATTTTTCACTTTAGGATGGTTCAAGCATGATACAGGTTTAGTAGACACCACATGAGTTTGCAACCCTTCTGTTTTTTACTTTCAAGATAGTGCTCAATATTGCATGGACACTCAACACTTTATCATAAAACAGGCTGTGTGCAAGATGCCTTCTGCCCGCTGTAAGCCGACGCAGGTGTTCTGTGCACCTTGAGGGTGGGTGAGGCCGAGCTGTGATGTTCCGTGGATTAGGCGTATTCAATGCATTTTTGACTTATGACATTTCCAGCTTGTGATGGGTTTATTAGTCAGTAACCCCATTGTAAGCCAAGGAGTGGTTGTCCCGAATGCAGGAACTTGGTGTTCTTAGACTACATGAATTTCATAGCTAGTTGCATCCCATGTTCATGGGATAATTCTTCCAACCCAGCCTCCTTGTCTTGACATTTAAGTAGCTTCCAGTTAATCACATTCGTAGCAGACTCCAAAGTATTTTCTCATTAAAATGTTTGGCTGTTTTCTTAGCAACTAGTTTGAAGGACAGATTTGCAGAAGCCTTGAGTCAGGAGGTCTGTGAGGGATGACAAGGACCTGAATTTTTTATGTGCTTCCCAGTAGATTTTGATGCAGGCAGTGTGTGAGAAACACATGTGACCTATGGGACTTAGAGAGAGAGGGGCTGTGGCAGGCCCAGTCATTTCGTGGTGGGGTCATTTCATGTTGGGGTCATTTCGTGGGTGGTGGGATCATTTCGTAGTAGAGTCACTTTGTGTGTCAGTGTTCATTTTGTGGTGGGGTCATTTCATGGGTAGGGTCATTTTGTGGGTGGTGGGTCATTTCATAATGGAGTCATTTCATGGGTGGGGGTTCATTTTGTGATAGGGTCATTTCATGGATCAGTGTTCATTTCATGGGTCAGGGGTCATTTTATGGGTGGGGGGTCATTTCATGGTAGCATCATTTCATGGTCAGGGGTCATTTCGTGGGTGGGGTCATTCCATGATGGCCCTCAATGGGCCAGGTGCAAAGGGAGCAGCTTCTTCCTGGATGACGTCCTTGATGCAACCTCAGAGCCTACCTGGGTGATTTGCCTTCATCCCATAAAATTTCTTTTCTCCAGAGGCCTCATTGAGGGAACCCAGGTTCTCTGGCCGCATGGATGCAGCGTTTTCCAGCAGCACTCAACTGGGAGGGCACTTGGCTCTCCTGTCTCAGATCTGGCTGCATCTTCTTTCCATACAGGATCATGCCACATCCAGATGCAAAATGATCAAATGCCATCAGCACATGGGGAAGAGCTGCTGTAACTTCTGAAGTGAAGGCACCGCCTTCATTAATGTTGATACCACTCAGCATAAAGATGACATAAGCAGAGTATTTTGTTAAAAATACACCACAGAGAATTTACATGTGCGCAACTGGAAAGATGCTTGCTACTGTATAATCTTATCTAATGGAGCATTTTCTGAATTCTTAAATGGTCTGTTCTGGGGTCAACAGTAAAGTCACATCCGGTCCACATCACAGTGTGGACTCACTGAAGCTGCTTCCTGTCATGTGGATACCACCACGCTCAGGGCAGCTGTGGGGGGCTGTGGGCATCGCCTCTGTCTCCTGCCTGCTCAGTCACCTGCCGATTTCATGCCTGGCCCCTCAGGGCTTAGCTCAACTCCTCTAGTGGAGACGTTGACTGGAAGATCTGCTAGGGTTTTTCTCCTTCCAATTTCAACATGCCATGAATTCATGAAGGCAAGTGAGCATAAATATGTCATCTACAAGCCTGTTAGTTTTAAATTTGTACATCAGAGGATGCCACCTCTTACATTCTACTCACAATGATATGCCCCACAGGGACACAGGCTCAACACTCTTGCCACCAGCATGTACCTGCCACCTGCACACACCTGCCACCAGCACACATCTGCCACCTGCATGTGCCTGCCTGCCAGCATTATTCTCCTGTGCCTACGTGGCAGCCCTGGAGTGCCTGCTGTGTGCACTGAACTCCCATGTCACGGGGTGGGCCTGGGCCCGGCCACCCTTCCTAGGCCTGCTTGTGACTGCCCCTTCCCCCTCTTCCTCATGTGTATACACAGTTCATACATAGTCCAGTGGGTTTTACCTCATTCAACTGTTTCTTCCTTTGTCCCTCAAATTCTTAGGACTTCCTTTACATACAGAACCATGCCAAGTGTCGTGGGGTTCTCAAAGCTAAGAATCCTGTAATCCCTGACTCAAGGTGGTAAGAAGGAAATCATTTGTACCGGAAATGTTAACGCCTGGCATCGCAGCATACACTGGGAATGGGGAAGTTTGCTGTAAGCTGAGAAGGCAGTGGGGAGAGAAGGGGGTGTAATATTTGGAGGAGTTACCATATTCTGGGCATTGTGTACAAGAAATCCCTTGACTGGGGTTCACCGGCAGGGTCCCTCAAAGAGCCGTCATTATCTTTGGCCTCGAAAGATGACTGAGGATCATTAGCGCTTCTGTAAGAACAAACCCCGTGGATGTTGCGTTAGCCTGCAGGGTGCGGCTTGTTTTTTCTGGTTAGCCTGGTAATTAGAATAACGCATCTGGGTAATGCACGGAGGGGTTTTCTAGGGGCTTGGTTGTACACACTGAACTTATTTATAAGAATATAGGAGAGGCTGGGAGCATTTCTAAAACATGGCCTCTGAAAACACGGGGCAATGGCAGAATCTGTAGGAGGGTGAACCTGGCTGCAGTCCATGAATAACTGTAATATTCAAACTCATTCTTAATCTTCCCCCAAATGTCTATATAGAGAGCCACGCGATATCCAGGTTAAGCAAATATTCAAGAGAAATGTAAATGTAGCCTTCCTTAATTAACAAATTTGCTAGCATTTCTCATCCCTGCAGAGTTGCTATACGTTGTTCAGCTGCCACTAGAATTTGCATGTGCATAGAGGAACAAACAGGGAAGCATATGATGTAATGCGTGTTACCATTTGCAGCTCTGCAATGGCAGAGAGGTGCTGTGTGTTTTGTTCTGTGATTTTGGGTTATTTAAAAGAAATCAAAGTGAAAGCATGGATGTCGTGGAGTTGCACCCGTCAGAAGCAGGACCTTCTCTCTTCTGGTTACTGGCCAGTCTATTTGGGCAAATTATTTAACATGATCTGACCTCAGGCTCCTGACGTATAAAATGCCTTCCTCGTAAGACTGTTGTGAAGTTTGGGGGAACATACTACACGCAGTACATGTGAGTGCATACCCTTGGAAGGGAAAGAGCTTGTGCAAGCTTGATCTCCACAGAGACGGAACCAGAGGACCAGGTGTGTCCCAGTCAACTCTGTCCTCATCCCAGCCAGCTCATGGTCTTTGAGGCCAGGGCTATTAAAACCTGAGGAGTGGGCCGGGCACAGTGGCTCATGCCTGTAATCCCAGTACTATGGGAGCCCGAGGCAGTTGGATCACCTGAAGTCAGGTGTTTGAGACCAGCCTGACCAACATGGTGAAACCCTGTCTCTACCAAAAATACAAAATTAGCTGGGTGTGGTGGCAGGTGCCTGTAATCCCAGTTACTCAGGAGGCTGAGTCAGGAGAATCACTTGAACCCAGGAGGCAGAGGTTGCAGTGAGTTGAGATTGCGCCACTGCACTCCAGCCTGGGCAACAAGAGCCACTGCCTTTGAAAAAAACAAAAACGAAACAAAAAAAACCTGGGGAGTGAAATGTGTGGATGCAGCTGAAGAAGAGACAGACTCGTGACTGATGAAGATTGACACAGAAGCACATTGAGCAAAGAGGCCCACAACCATGAGGAATTCTGTGGATGTGTACTCTGTCAGGAGACAGGATAATTCCTGGATTTAATTGCAAAGGGCCCCAGTCTTTCTGCCTGACATATTGGGTACTAGCGGATTGTTGCCACAGCAACCAAGCAAGTAACTGTGGCAGGTTAGCAAGCAGCCAAAAATTATTATAATATTTAAGAACCAAAACTTTAATATTTTATTTTCATTACCGTCACTGTGGTTTTCTTTCCTAACAGAATGAATTCCTGTGCTATTTATAGGAACCTTTTCTGCAGTGCTTTTAGAGCAAGTGCTGTTGAGTTTATGTTTTCCAAAAGATTAAAAATGATCCTTTTGAGGAATTTCACTTTTATTTGGGTCTTCCTGTGTAAAGAAATCTGTGGTTAGCAGTACAACAAATGTGTTACCCGGCTTCTTTTTCCTGGTCAGGTTCAGAATTCCACTGTTGGGTGCTGTTCATCATCACGAGTGCTGAAATGGGAGGCTGAGCACCGTGTGCTGCCCACGGTGTTGCCAGGAGGGTTCCTGTAGGTTTTTCTTGTCCTGATTTGAGTATAGGCATGAATGCATGCACACATGTACAGACACACACACATGTACATAGAGACACAAACATCCACGCATAAAAGTCATTCGCAGTCATGTCTACACTGAAACCCAGTATTAAAACATCCCATGTCACCGTTTCGGTGTCTGCATTAAATGCCTTAGACTTTACTCTTAGCTAAGAGCATCTTAAATATGCAGTCGCCAATGACTCTTCAGCTTTGTAGGCCTCTTCCATCATGTCAATAGACATTTTTAGATCAGAGCTGTCATAAGTTTTTAGAGAGGTAGCTGTATATGGACTACTGTATACTGTAGTTTGACTTACGTATATTAGCACATATATCTCTGCAAATATTTATATTTTCCATGGAATTCATTGTTCATATAGAAAGTAAAACATGCTCAGTAAAATTTATCTTCGCTCTCTTGGGTTGTGTACCGAGGAATGATCAGATAACAAATGACTGTGTAATTTAAATCAAACAAAGCAGTATTCTCAGCATACATTAACATTATTTGGAATGTTTGTTTCATGGTTTTTACATTGTATTAGTGTTACGCTATTGTATTGGACAAGATTTTTTAAAAACTCTTGGATACTGAGACTAAATTACTCTCAATCAAATTGTAAGGAAAAACCATAACTTATCTAAAAGGATTTTTATTATCAACTCTTTTCATTAATGCTTTTTGGTTGTTTTATTAAAAGCACTGGAACAAAATAATAGCCTTTTTGGACAGTGGCACATAAAAGTAGTTTTTCCTCATGAAAGCGTACTTGCATATGGAAAATTGAATATGCAGGAAGTGTTGAGGCCACATGCTCAGAAAAACAGTTACATGTTATGATGCACATTTAAGATGTTCATAAGGATCAACTTTCTAAAAATGTTTACCAAGAATCAAATCTATGGAATTGTCATTTCGTAAAGGTGTATGCTAACTGTGTGTTTTGAGACTACTTTTTCTTAATTGTTAGATTATGTGATTATATAATGACATCTAAAAATAAAGCACTTTTGCTGGTGGTTTGGGCCTAATGAGCTATATTTTAAAGGAACAGAAGATGAGTTCATTAAGAAGTTTGGCTTAAACTTATCAGACCAGCAAATCAATTTCTGTTTTTCATTTTAAATCAGTCACAGGGATTTGGAGTCGTCCATTCACTTTATGTCTCTTCTTCTGCTCTAAATATTGATGTAATAAAATATCTAGGTTTTTTACCTGTGAATGTGTAATGACTTTCCTGCTTTACTGTTTGGGGTCAGATGAAATATTTTTCTACTTAAACTCTGTAGTTACTATAAGACATTTTGCAGGTGGACTGTTTATTTAATGAGTCTACTAACATTTTCCGTCAAATGTCTAAAACCAAAGGCACTTGCCTACTCACTGCCAGACCTCTGATTAAGACTCTGGAGACAGCCCTTTGGGTAAGCCTCTGGTTGCTGTCTTCCATCTGCTCCACAAAGCAGGTTCCAAAGCTGGGGTCCCTGCCGTAACAGCCCAGAAATCTGCAACCAGCAACATTGCCTTGCTTAGCTAAGTTCATGGCTCATCCCACTGAGGAGGCCTTAGCAGCAGAGAGGGCCACCTGAGTCAGACTCATCTGGGCTTGAATCCTGATTCTGACTTAAAGGATTTGGACACAATATTTAATCTCTATGGATCTCCTCTACTCAATCTTCAGATGTCAGGGATGATAGTGATACATGGCCGGCTACAGAAAAGAGTGGTTGCAAGGGTTGGAGTGTGGTCATCTTGGTGTGCCCTGGGGATGTGGAGATGCAGGAGGCAGCTCCTCATGGAGGCAGCTCAGGGAGTGGAGAGCAGAGAGGGCTTGGTAGTTCCCATGGGGAATATTTCATGACTGAGTAAGCATCCAGTTGTAAAACTTCCTCAGGTGATTCAGTGCAGCACTGGAGGGTTTTTAGGAGAAATGTAATTCTTGTTTTAGGAAAACACACCCATTTGTTCCTGGTTATAACTTTTGATCAAACAAACCCAGTTGAGTGTGTTGTATGGAATGGTTTTACAAGGGGCCTGGTCATGGTGGCCTCTCCACTCACGGTGTCCTACTGCTTTCCCCTGAGCCTCTGTGGCTCCTCTAACACACCTGCAGTTTCATTTCATGCGCCTGTTCCATGCATGTGGCAGAGGGTGGAATTCCTCGAGCCCTGTGTGTCCTCTGGCCTAGTTTACTTTAGCTTTCTTTCGTTATTCCCATCTTTTTTCATAGTTTATTTCTGTGTCTTAATTTTGGAACTTTTTCATGCTTTGAAACTGTTTCAAGGAGCCATTCTTCAGTCTCTTGTCTGCTGTAGAAGTATCAAAGAAAATGGCATGTGTCCCCTTCACCAGCAGGACTCCAGCTAATGACTCCAAAATGTGTGTGTAGTGAAACGCAGCTTTGGTTGAAAGGCGCTGGGACACTGACGTGCCCATGCCCAAATGTGGTTTATCCAGGCATGCTGTTAGCGCTGTGCTGCTGTTCACATCAGATCTAGAGTCAGGCTGAGCTGGATTTGAATTCTGACCGTGACAGGTAATTGCTCCAGAACTTTCTTAATTTTGATCTCAGTTTCTTTAGTTGTAAAATGGGAATTCTACCACCTACATAACACTGGCTTTCGCGACTACATGCAGTTGTGCCCCTGAAATTCTAATAGTTCCTGGAGATAACTCAGTAATACCAATTCCCCCTTAATCCTTTCCCTTCATTTTCTAGTGAATACAACCCAACTAGTGAGGTGAAAATTACCTAATGATAAATCCCCTCGAAGAGACAGAGACAGGCAGTGTTTGTTAATGCTGAGAACTTCTGGGCCCACAGGAATCATCCACACCCACAGTTTTGAGAGACACTACCGTGAGAGAGAGATTTTTCTGCATGAACGTGACTTCGAGTTGTTAAATTATTACTACAGAGCTTTCCTTTCAAACCTGTGAGAGCTATCGATGTGAGAATACTCTTTAAGGACACACACAGGTCCCATGAGGTATGCCTCCATCGTGAGACATTGAAGTTACCATGGGTATTAACGTAGGTTATTAAGAAACAGGCATTTTAACACAGGTAAATTCGAATTACATGTAGTTCATGTTAACCCAGAGACTCAAATGCTGCATGCACTTTCCATTTTACTAAATAATTATTTATGTTAGGGTTGTGCACACAAGGCCTAAGTCTTTAATTGGTGTTTCTTCCCTTCTATAGATATAAATAGCATTGCCTGAGAATTTGGCTGTTCATTCATTGTCTCTGTGACTTACTGGCTGTGTTGCCTCTTGATTTCTTATGTCTACTTATGAAAGAAGATTAGAAATCTCTACTCTAAACGTCAACAAAATCTTTCTGGAGGATGTAAGCAGGGACCAGGCAAACAAGAAAACCTCTGGTGTAATTTTCTCTGAATTAGATTTATTTGCAAACAGCTGGCGGCCTTTCATCTTTGAGAATTGTGACTGTATTCATTGATACTAACACCAGAGGTTAAAATGTGTTACCAAGAGAACAAACGGGAGATAATCTTTAATTTAATGTGGAAAACAAAGTACTTGTTGAAGCTTTGATGTTTAAGACTGGAGAAAAAAAAAAAAGACGTTGAGTTTCTGGCTCTCATTTTCCAGTTCTGAAATCCTTCATTTTATGTTAGGACCCAGAGACATCAAGCTGCCTGAATTATGAACCCTTCTTTTCCTTTATTTGTGGCTGTACGTGAAGCTAGGATTATGGGAAAACATTCTATCCATAGTGCGCTTCTGGTGAACTTAACAGTTCTGAGACGAGAAGGCATTACCCTGCTCTGCAGGTGGGTGGGTTCCCATGGGGCGTGGCTGGATTTACTAGCAGTGGGTCCTGTTTTCAGCATTTTGCTAAAGACCGTCTTTTGGGACTGAGATGTTGCTTTACAAATAGGTAGTCACTCACTTGGCACTGAGAGAATAAGCCCAACTTTCTGTAGGAACCCAGGATCTGCCATGCTTGGGATTGGCAACCCGACAGCTGCAGTCCATGCTCAGCTGTGAGGCGCTGTCTGACGTTGGGTTCTGAGCTTTGTGCCATCCAGTTCAATCATCCACAGAACTCGAGTGTTTTCTAAGTCCTGTCGTCCAGTTCAATCATTCACTGAACTCTAGAGTTGCTTCCAATGCCTGCTGTCCAGTTCAATCATCCACTGTAGAGTTGCTCCCAATGCCTGCCGTCCGGTTCAGTCATCCATAGAGCTCTAGAGTGGCTTCCGATTCCTGCTATCCAGTTCAATCAGAGTGGTTTCCAAGTCCTGCCATCTGGTTCAGTCATCCACAGAACTCTAGAGTGGCTTGTAATTCCTGCTGTCCAGTTCAATCATCCACAGAGCTCTAGAGGGGCTCCCGATTCCTGCCGTCCGGTTCTGTCATCCACAGAGCTCTAGAGGGGCTCCCGATTCCTGCCGTCCGGTTCTGTCATCCACAGAGCTCTAGAGGGGCTCCCGATTCCTGCCGTCCGGTTCTGTCATCCACAGAGCTCTAGAGGGGCTCCCGATTCCTGCCGTCCGGTTCTGTCATCCACAGAGCTCTAGAGGGGCTCCCGATTCCTGCCGTCCGGTTCTGTCATCCACAGAGCTCTAGAGGGGCTCCCGATTCCTGCCGTCCGGTTCTGTCATCCACAGAGCTCTAGAGGGGCTCCTGATCCCTGTCATGCAGCTGTTCTCAGGTTAGCCTCAGGGGCCATGCAACAACCTCACCGGAGAGTGTGGTTCAGCAGGGAAGGACTGTTAGGAAAGAGGAAGTCAGCCTGGAGGGGGCAGGGGCCTGGCTCTTTAGCGCTCATTACAGTAGCAGGAGTCCTAAAGCCAGGGCGCTGCTCTCTGCTCTTGGGCTCCGTGACAGCTCTCTTTGGGCCCTGGATCCTCTTGGCTTTAGTTACAGGGAGAGGCTGCATCCCTGGCAGTGCCTCATGCCCCGGGTCCCAGCACACTTCATCCTCAAGGGCCTCCTGGGTGCCCTGGGCTGTAGACACCCTGCCGCCTCTGTGGGAGGCAGGAGGGATGGTGTCTTCCTTAGGAACACAGCTCTGGATTCGCACTCCTGGGCTCCTCCCTCAGCTCTGTGCCTCGGTTTCTCCCTCCATGACATGGAGCCCCCAGGAGTGCCAGCCTTAGGGGCCGTGGGAGGACTGCATGAGCAGGGCAAGTGGTGTGTGGTGGGTGTGGGCTGCTCCGAGTCAGCCCGTGGCCTCCCGTGTATCAGGCTGTGAGCATCCTGCAGCCAGGGGTGTGTTCATGGGCTTGGTCTGGTTTGCTCTCTCCTGTGTCCCCACCACCTAATAAATGTGTGGAAAATGCTTGCGGGGGAACACGCTGTGGTCAGTATCCTTAGACCAAGGCCCCCTCTTTCCTGTGGAAAGGCTGAGGTGGGTGAGGGAATTCCACGTCTGTGTGGGTGCAGTGGTGACCACAGAAAACAGCAAAACAGAACAGAGACACGTCCCCCATGGGAGGTTAAGATATGGTGACAGTGTCACCCCCTTTGGGAAGGAAGTCAGGCTGTGGACACTGTCACCTCTGTGGGAAGGGAGTCAGGCTGTGGGACAGTCACCCACCAGGGGTAGGAGTCAGGCTGTGGAACCGTGTGGGCCGCATGGAGAGTCGGCCATTCTGTGTGGTGCAGGGAGTGTGAATCATGGTGTTGGCAGCCGGTGGTTTTGAGGTATAACTGGGCTCTAGAAGGCCAGCAAAATGGAAGCAAGGATGTGTTGACAGCAAGCAAGCTGTCACTAGGATGGCTTGTTGAACCAGAAGCAGAATCTCGGGACGTGAGTCTGGGGCTTTGAGTTCCTCCACAGGGTCAGGCTTGATCTGTTCCCAGTGGAAAAGCCCCAGGGCTTGTGTGGCTGCATCCATTTCCTGTGGCTGCTGTCATGATGACCACAGACCGGGTGGCTGGAGGCAACAGGAATTTATCCTCTCATGGTTCTGGAGTCCAGGAGCCCAGAACCTTGGTGCTGGCAGGGTGGGCTCCCTCAGAGGCCCTGAGGGCGTTGGTCCCGCCCCCAGCTGCTGTGCGCTTCTTGTTCCAGGCCCACAGAACTGTGGTGCCAGCCCCTGCTGCTGCTTCCCACGGCCGCCTCTCCCTCTCTGGGTCTCTGTGTCCTAAGCGTCTCTTCTTAAAACACTGCGTGTCGTCAGATTTAGGGCCTGCTCTAAATCCAGGATGATCTCGTCTCAAGATGCTTAATCGCATCTGCAAAGACCTAATTTCCAAATAAGATCACCTTCTGAAGATCCGAGTGGCCATAGATTTGGGGGGATGCTGTTCTACCCTCTCCTGGTAACGGCGATGTCCTCACTGAATATCATTGCCACACTTCAGGACGTCCTTTGGGTAGCCTTTTCCTCGGAGGCGGGTCTGGGTTCCATGTCTCAGCCTTCCTGTGTGCCTGGGATGAGGCAGGAGGTCACAGCCGGGGCAGCCTGGTGTGCTGGTGGGGAAGAGGAGGTGGGCTGTGCTCCCTCACTGTCGAGGGATCTGAGTGTGTCTCCCAGCCAGCAATATGTGTGTTGGCATATTGACGTTGTGTAATAAACACGGGCTTTGGTGAAGCGTGGATGCGTCTCTCTGCTGGGAAACCACGGCACTTCCCCATGTGGGCAGAGGAGTACCCTAACCTTTCCAGCATGCATGACCCGTCCACAGGACTGTTTTCCAGGAAGATTCTCATCTGACTTGGTCTGTAGACTTGGCTCTGTCATTCACTAGCCAGTCTTGCTAACGGTGAGCCATCCTGTGGAACGGCCACCCATTTCAAGTGAACTCCTTGGATCACTGGAATCGTTGAGGGGAAAGTTTGGAAGATCTTATGATGAGAATTTGCCTGAACACCTGCTTTACTCTCTCCAATGCGGGCCCAAGCGTGATCTCTGCCACCAGCTTTCTTTGTAGGCATGGGTGGTGCTGAAGCTGAAGTGTGTGTGTGAATGAATCGCAGCTCATTGGCTCTTCCACATGTTCATTGAGGGAAAACTGCTGCTGGAAAGTACACTTTACAATGACAACAACTCAGTTACAACTCTACCATCCACGAGTCGTGGAAAGATCCTGTCACCCCTCCTAATTCTCATCCCTCCCTCCAGCCATGAATTTTATGGAGTAAGACACGTGTGGACTCAGGCAGAGCTGGAGTCTCCATACCTCCAAGAACAGCAGCGGCCAAAAGGCTCCAAACTGTCGCTGTCACAGAGTGTCCCTGGGGTATTTTCCAGGGAGCGGTGGCCCTGGTGGGCGCTGGGTTATGCTACAGATTCAGTGAGTTCCCAAACGCTTCCCTCCCTGTCCCTCCCCCATGAGGACTTTCTTGGAGGTTGCACTGAGCATTTCCATGGAGGACTTTCCTCCTCTAACTTTTCAGACACCCAGGAGCACGCGGCACTGCCGGCAAGAGCAGCTCTGTGTGGACGGGCCCCTCTGAGCGCCCTGCCCACTCACTGTTAGAAAGACCCGTGTCGTCAGCCCTGTGACGCTCCCTAGGAAGTTGCCCATTTATGGCTACTAGAGCAAATGATATCATCACAATAGGTGGCTCCTGTTTAATTAGGGATCATTTGTGAAATGAGATTATAGACGTTTATCTGGAAAAAAAAAAAAAAACAGGAGATGGAGGCACCTGCTCTCTGTAATTGATATCCTTGGGGAGAGCAGTGCGCGGTAATTATGCCCATGGCTAACTGTGTTACGGGGAAGGAGCTCGCCTCTCCTGCTCTGCACCAGGTGGCCCCCACATCCACATGGAGCTGACTCCAGATCCATGTTTTCTCTCATGCTTGACTATGTGGGCCATGCATCGCAGTCCTGTGCCTGCCACGCTGCTGCAGTGCCTGGCTGGCAGAGCTCCGGGGCAGGCTGGTCCGGGCTGTGGCTGACGGCACCTTGGTGCACACTCCATCCTGGCCTGCTTCTAAGCAAGGATGTGGAGGCTCCCCTGAGTGTAGGTCTCGCTGTCCGCCCAGACACCTCCTGTTCTCGGCGTTTGGATGCTGCAGACAGAGCGGCAGGAGTCTCTCCTCGGTAAGTCAAGGATGACTCATTTCTGACTTTCTTTACCTGGAATGTCCACTTGCCCTGTGCGGTGGCATCAGGTAGACAGTGGCCGACCGGCAGCACTGACTAGTTAATCGTGAAGCTGCTTTCCTCCATACTTTGCAGTACGTCTTTTCCTGGCCCGCCCTCCCTCCTGGCCATAGGTCGTGCCTTTCTTATAAGTAAAACACTCGTCTCCTGATAGACATTGTGATAGCAGCTGGAGGTGGGGGGCGGTGAGTATGCCTGCAATCCAGGGAGAATCTTAATTGCCAGGAGCCTCTGGGGAGAAGCTCGTGCACAGCAGCCCAGAACTACGGTGCTGTAATTCTAAGGAGACAAGTTCAGTCTTCAATTAACCACAATTCCAATAATCACCGAATGCCAGAGCAGTGTGTAATGCAGGAGCTCTTCTGGCTTATCCTCCATTTGCTACCGCAAAGATGCAGCAGCTGAGCCACTGGCTTCGGTATTGCTTTGGGAATGAGTAAATCCAGGGACCTGCAGCTTTTCAGACCTGTGTTTTTCTATGCAAGCAATGGAGAGAGAAGCCTGTGGAGACAGCTTCCTTTGTACTGCCAGTGCAGTGAAAGCCTGGGCGCCTTTTCTCAGCTACATGAAGTAGGATCGAAGGGGGAGATGTTGGGACTGAGATGTCACAAAGTGCTGCCGCGTATTTGTCTTTAAGACCGACAACCTCTTCAGAAGAGGAGATTCCAGGGTTTAGCTCACCGAGTGGACTGTCCTCTTTCTATCGGAGGAGACAGTGTTTTCAGTGTGATAGAAATTGCTGAGGTTTTAGAGGAGGCATGCTTCCGAGTGCTCACATCTTGACCAGGGTCCCTGCCATCCTGAGTTCTCGAGCTTACACCATCCATGAAGGGCTTTAGCAGTGGGGAACTTTATACAAGAGACTGGCACCTACGTGAGCCACAGTGTGATGGTCAGGTGTGTCTGGGAGGGACTTTCTTTTTGTGCTTCTTGTCTTGCCTAACCATGCTGGCATTTTTTTTGTTGTTTTTTCTTTTGCTTTTTACCTCATGCAAAAATATGCACCTCTTTAAATGGTACTGCCTCGCATCTTTCTGTTTAAATAGAATGTCAGTAAAAGGATTTATATTAGCTTAGGCATCTAGGTAATTGCTCGCTTTAAAAGTTCCTGTTATAAACAATCAAATATCTTACATTGAAATATTCTACTCTGTACAGGACTGAGTGTGGCCAATAGGAAGCTATTCTTGGTTTGTCCATATTTAGGTGTCGACTATTTCATTCATACTTTTGCTCCCAGAGCTCGGTGCCTCTCCACACCGAGGTCTACTGTTAAAATGGTGTCTGTTGTGGCCCTTAATTTGCTCATGAAAGAGAGCAAGGCAGTGGGACTCTCTCCAGCTTGGTGAGTCACACTTGCTGTTAGCAACAAGTGCTGGCTTCCTCAGCCAGAATGGTCTGTCATGCATGTCATTCACACCGGGATGACATGGTTCTCCAGGAGAGCAGTTAGGAAGCGCCAGCCTCCAGCGGGGTTTGTGGCCCAGGGCAGAGACTTTCTCTTGGAGTAACTGCAGCTGTGGCAAGGCTTTAGGTCCTGGGGATACTCCAGTGCCTGGCGGGGCGGCAAGGGATGATTTTATCAAGTTTAATCCTTCCTCCCAATTTGCAGCAATTACTCAACAGTAAGTATTTGCAAGTAATGAATATTGCTTTTTTAACCCAAGTCAATTTATTTATGTTCAAAACAGAACTGGATCAGCAGAAAGTAAGTGGTGTGCATATGCAGTGTTCAAACTGGAGAAATACAGTTCCTCAGATATGTCAGACTGCCCGTTTTTCACATCCAAATCAGGGTGCTGTCTGAGGATATTGTATATTTGATGGGTATATGACAAATCTTATTTAACCAGCATTAATAACCTCAAACCAAATGCACTAATCACTTCAAAGCAGCGTCAGTAACATCCACTCAAATGTTATCTAGCCAGCATTAGTAACTTCAAAACCTGCCGTTTTTGTTTTCTAAAACATGTATGTTTTATTTAAATACTACTTAATGTGATGGCTTGCTTTTTTCTTCAGCAAGGACGTCTTTAGTGAATTTGACATGCTCTGAAAGATTCACTGTCAACACGGGCTGTATGTGACCTCTCCACATAATATACACATAAAAATTAAGCTCTGACAATTATACACATAAAATTTTAAGCAAGTGTTGCCTATCTCCTGTTATTCTACTGTATGCAGCAGAGGGACAGATGCTTATGAGGTAGACAAGTATGGTTCCTTACTCCCCCTTCACCCTGACATGCACATAGCCGGCCCGTCATACACCTAGTGTGGAGAATTCACTTAAGGAACAGTGAAGGGTACGTGCATGGGGAGCACTGCAGTGCCATGGGAGCAGTAGGAAGGTAGTTTAAAATGCATGCTGTGCATTTACAGTTTGTTGATGAAACACCCAGACACCTCCTCACAGCAGGTGCTTCCCACCCACCAAGCATTATGCCCAGGGGATTTCTGAAAAAAATACGTCTCCACGTACCAGTACGCCTTCCTTTATTCACTCTGTCCATTTAAAATACAGAATTACTCACCCTGGAGTGTCTGTTCACACAACCCAGTGTTGATTGAAGCTGTGTCGGAACCTTGGACTCAGTAAGTTCTTTCCAAAGATACAGCCATTGTCAGAAATTTGATTTGGGTCATGATTTTATTCATGATGATTTCAGGATAACGATTGGTAGTAAAATTAGCTTTTTTCACATGACTGGCATAAAAAAAAAAAAGCCATAACATTTCCATTTAGAGAATAGTTGTTGTGAAATTGCTTTCCTGACACACATCTTTGTTAAAATGACACTGTATTCAGTGATTGAAAGCAGCACGTTTTTGCCGGAATCTATAGTTTCTGTCGCTTATCACACAGCACGGAACGTTTTGCTTGTATATCTGTGGATGGGGGGTAAACATACTTTAAACCATTGGCCTCTGGAAAATGCAGCTGTGTACCTTAAGAATGACATTGTTAATTATGGAAGATTTAAAGGATGCCCATGTGCTTCCTTCTTACAGGATCATCAGAGACTTTTATGCTCGTCTTCCTTCCAATCTGGCACTCTCCTGAGATTGATCTATGCCGAGTGTCCCCACTTCTGGTTATCCCATCTAAGCACATCAGTTGTTCCTTGTGGGAACAGTTCAGAGGCAGAGTCCTGATCAGTAAATAGTTACAGTGGATGGTTTGTGTGTAGGGGTAGCCTGGATCCCAGGAATCCCGGGAAGTCTTTCAGAGCTGTTTGCTTTCTGAGTGCTCACTCTCCTTCGTGGTCTGTGGGGAGAATGCTCTGGGCCTGCCTGACCTGGTCTCTGGAGCCCCTGGTCGGGGAGGCTGCTGAGCCGGACCCTGTCCAGCCTGAGCGTGGCTGCACCATGGTGGTGTCAGTCTGCGCAGTTGCGTGTCCTAGGTTCACTCGCTGGATTGCAGGGCAGGTCTGGGCGAGGACAGTCCCCACCACGGGCAGGTCTGTGTGAGGAGGGCACTTCTCCCACCATGGGCAGGCCTGGGCAAGGACAGTTTCCACCACGGGCAGGTCTGGGTCAGGAGGGTAGCTCCCCCACCACTGCCCTATCTTCGTCCTCGGCCACCAAATGTGGTACCTCCGTCCCTGCTGTCTGGACAGCCAGGCACTGCTTGTCGAGGGCAGGTATTTTGTGGCAGAAAGGACCCTGATGGGAAGCCAGAGAGCTGCAACCTAGCCCATTTTCTTCTCAAGTAACCATCAGAGCCCATGACACCCCCTCACCTCAGACCTCAGGGGCTTCCTGGCCACGTCCTCAGCCCAAGCTACCCAGAGCTGTCCGGATGCCTTGCTCTGCCTGGTGCCGTCTGGTTTGTTGCCGAGAGGGGTTGGTCTCCTTCCCTCCTTCAGGTTCTGTCTGATGAAAAGTGGATGGGTGGCTCCAACCCAGCCTCTCCCCACAACACCCTCTGTGGTCTTCCCATCTTTCTGGGACCCAGGCTGTGGCCACGTTGTCCACGCGCCCCATGCCTCACGCTGCTGGCCCTGATCCGAGCCCTGTCTGATCCCTCTTTCCTGGGCTTCCTCCCTGTTCTTCAAAGGGTGCTGCTGGGTGTGTTCTGGTCAGGAGGTTTTAGCCTCCTGGCACTTTTGTCTTGGGTTTGTTGATCTGCTGGTGTTTCTGCCCTGGTGCCCACCCAGCCATGGCCCTGCCTGTAGGACCATCACTTGGTGCCTGGGAAGCTGCAGGCTCCTGAGTAGACTTGGAGGTCAGAGGCTTCACAGGAGGTGGCTGTGCTGAGAAGCCCTCATAGGAAGAGTGTCTCGGCTGTGGCCTTTGTCCACATGGGCAATGCCTGGCCCACGTGTGCCAGGGCAACTATTTCCATGCCCATTTTGCCAGTGAGAAAACTGAGACTCAGGTGGTTGAGTGACGTGTGTGTGTGTGTGTGTGTGTGTCTTTGTGTGTGTTTGTGTGTGTGTTTTGAGACTTAATATTTTTAGCACAATTTAAGGTACCCATCAAAATTAAGTGGAAAGTGCAGATGGTTCCCACATGTCCCCTGCCCCACTCATGGCCTCATGATCCAGTCCCCCCCCCAGAGCAGTGCATTTACTGCAGTGCACTATAGTACACATACTACAGTGAGCCATCATAATGCGTCACCCTCACCTGGAGTCCCAGTGGGTTCACCGAGGGCTCATTCTTGGTGTTGTAACTCCATAGGTTTGGGCTGGTATATGATGACACAGCCACCCCAGAACACACAGGAGTTTCTCAGTCTTAAAAACCCCTCTGATCAAATCAAAACCACATTGAGATACCATCTCATGCCGGTTAGAATGGCGATCATTAAAAAATCTGGAGACACAGTTGCTGGAGAGGATGTGGAGAAAAAGGAACACTTTTACACTGTTGGTGGGAGTGTAAATTAGTTCAACCATTGTGGAAGACAGTGTGGCGATTCCTCA